TACGTATTATATGACAGAAAAGATTAATAATATTATAAGTAATTTTAATCTTAATCCTCCGAAAGAATATAAAGCTTCAACAGACAAATATTCTATTTGCAGCGCTGGCTTAGGATTTTCAATTCTCATAACATTAATCGGAACAATATATGATATATTTATATATCAAAAACGTAACGTGGTAAACGTGTCTGCAGCATATCGGAAAAATAAAATTGGAGAAATATTAATATGTTTTTCCGCTTACACAAATACAGGAAAAATATTTAGCACAAAGTTGGACGCCGGCACAATACCCGTTTTTCACTATTTAAAAGTTCTAGGCATGTGCTTGATAATCATGTTCCATGGTGTATATTATATATTTAATTCTCTCGGTAAGTAATTTATAATAAATCTCTAGAATAGACATTTTTGGCTCTTTTGTTTTTTTACTCTTTACGCATAACAAAAATTGCTTATTTGTATTGACAGATAATAAAGTACAGCTGTGGAGGTTCACTGAGAATAATAAAATCATAGGTGACATGGGATTCCTAGCAGTTGATATTTTTTTTCTTTCAAGCAGATGTTTAGGGACGTATATGTATTTGAAGCCGCTTGGTTGCAAAGAAAAATTAATCAAATTAAGAGATCGCGTATTAAAAAGATTTTTTCGGTAAGTTTTTATTACATTATTACAAAGAAATTTGAATATTGATTTCAATGTAAGCTAAATACTAACTCTCTTTTTTTTATACGCGTCTGTAATAAAATTTTTCATTTTAAGGCTGACACCGGCTTACATGACGGTGTTAGGAATAGCGCAATTAAGCTCGACTTGGTTTGATAAAACATCGATAGTTTACATGTACGAAAGATCGCACGAAACTTGTGCGAAATATTGGTGGAGAAATCTTTTGTACATACATAATTTCTTTGGATGGGATGCAATGGTACGAACACGTTTGATTACGATCAATTTGAAATTATACTTGAAGACGCATAAAACTTTTATAAAATTTTTATTGCATTACAGTGCATGAGTTGGAGTTGGTATCTATCCAATGATATGCAATTTTATGTCATCGCTATGGCTTTATTAATTTTCTCAACTAGGTATGTTAATTACCCGGGACACTTTAAAAAGTGAAGGGCAGTTTTCCCATGCTACCGGGCGCGTCCACAGGTTGCGGATAGTGGAACGTCCAGGGAGGCTCTCTGGACAGTCGTGAATAACAATCAGAGACTTGTCTCTGAGCGGAATAAGCGATCGCGGACAAGGGAATCAAAAAACCCGAAACCACAATGGAAGAGAGTAATATAAATAGATATACCCCAGGAGGTAACCCAGAAATGGGGAATCCTTCCACTTCCTTGGAAGTGGCTGAGCTCCGATCGGATTCTGGGGGGGGCTCAATATTACTCGATTCGGAGCCGACAGTGGAACACTTGGCTGTCGGAACCACTCTACAAGCATCAAGTGGAAAAATGGAGATTGCTACTCCTGCAGGCGGGGCGAGTCCGAGGAGCATCTCTTCTCGGCTGGAGAAGGTACAGATCGACAGGGCGACCGATGACGAGCAAAATATTTGTAATATATTTGTCTTACAACCGATACATATCCGTTCTAGCTACTTCTGTTTATGTAGCACTGAACAGACCACTTTGGGCCATATGTATTGCATGCGTTGTAATAGCATGCTCCAGTAAACACGGAGGTTCGTTTATTCATTAATCATAAATACATCTTATAAAAAAATCGGCATATTTTTAATATATTAGTGATATGTTTTAACTTGCTTTGTTATAGGCATCGGTAATCAATTATTCTCGTTCAAGGGCTGGATTCCTCTAGCAGGTTCACATACTGCGCTTATCTTATAAATCCAGTCATCATACATAAACGTTCCCGGGCGCCCCCATAAGGCGTAGGTAAGGACACCCGTGAGATTTTAGTGGGTAGGCTATACGTGCAGTATCGTGGGCAATGTGCATGTATAGAATCCCACGCTCCCCTCGCTCCCTTGCCAGAAGGGCGAGGGGGTCTTCCCCCCTAACATCCGGGGGGCTACTGGGCTCTTAGCCCGGTAGTTGAAGATTTCCTCACGTAAAAAAAAGCTAATATTATATCTTCCAGAGTTACCAGAGTGGAGCGTGGAAATGATCTACAAATAACGTTACGAGTAGGTACCAGGTAAAAATACTCTACATTTAAAAGACGTAAATGTGAATAGCGTCATTAAGAGAAAGTTTAAATTTTAAAAAATTTTTAGATACTGTATCTCAATTTACTAATTTCTTAATTAGCCTGTTTCGTCAATTCCGACGATTTGGTTAACATTTAATGAGGCATTATTATAAATAATTTATTTAATTAGGAATAATTAACAAATTGTTTGCTTTTTATTGGACTGTAAAGTAGAGTGAACGGAGTAAGCTTCAGGATTAGGGTTTGAACAAAAATGGAAACGTTACGCATATTATCGCAAAGAAGTTGTAAATCATATTAATAAAAGAAGATAATGAGTAGTAAATGACGTGTGGAAATTTGAGAGTCTGTGACGTTCTTCTTTAAAAAGAGAAAAAGAAAAAAGAAATATAATAAGACTTATTACTACTATTACTTACTACTCTTATTACTTATTGAATTAACAAGCATATCATTATAAATACCGATTATTATATTACGCATTTCCGAGTAAATGCATCAGATGCAATAATATTGGCTTCCAGTATAACGATTTTCTTCTGCTGGTGCTTGTCCTTCATCATCGCCAAATGCTCTATTAATGTAAAGAGGCATTCAATGGCAAGTACGTCATCTTCTGGATATTCGGAGGTTTCTGCATCATTAGTATTCTTTTCGTAGTATTGTTGTTGCCCGAAACGCAAGATCTCCAGCAAATTCAGGACGAACTGATTGTGAGTGGAGTGACTTCGATTATAAACGTCGAGAACGGGACGAAAAAGTGAGGAGGGAACACTTTCGTTCGATTATCCTGATGACGAACGGTGTATGCTGAACATCTGATAAATTTGCAAGATACTTTAAAGAGATTAGATATTTATAAAAGATATACGTAGGATATAGTTTTTATAACATTTCTAGAAATTTGATATCATTGAGCGGAGAAGAATCAAGTAGAGTATCTGAAATACGGATAATATATAATATTTTACTGACAAATTTATAAAAATATATAATATGGGCAAAGAGAAAATATTTTTGAGCTTGGACCACCGTTCAGCCTCTTGTTGCTTGGATCACAAAGAAAAATGGAAAACGAATCAATGAACAAACAATAGTTCGATGATTTAAATAAAGTGATAAATGGATAAATTTAAAAAGAATAAAATGAGGATAGATTCTATTTTTGCTCATATATTATATTAGCTGATGGTTACCCGGAGCTTCGCCCGGGCGTCTTTTTTTTAAACGATTTTATTTGTATTATTAGATTTGTGTTCTAGCTAATCTTATTCACCAATGTATGATTTATAAACACATATTTTCAATAGCTTTCAACGTCATCCATGAGGTACCTACTATTATTAACGCGTTTTTTTAGTGGTATCTCCAGTATTTTAAATTCTTTAAAAGAGTCGTACTTAATAATTTTTCCTGTTCAGATTTTCCTAATCAACCAAATCTGAAAGCATTATATATGAAATAGAGGTAGAAAAGACTGAAGAATATAATGGAATTATAAATAACCCGATATCTCAAAATTGGCGGAAGTTAGAGCAATCATGGACATTTCTCAAAAAATTCCAAACTTTATAAAGAAAAAACCCTTTTACCGATCATCGCCAAATTCAATACTAACCTTCCTTAAATGATACTCTTTATAAGATGACATGTATAACTTATACACTTTTTAGGCAAAAATCGGCAACTCTTTCACCGATTCTTGCTAAATTTAATACCAACTTACCTTTAATGATACTTCATCCATAAAAAAAAAATTTAGCTTGATATCACAAAATTTGAGGAAATTAGAGCAATTACGTAGATTTTTTTAGACAGAAATCCGTAACCTTTTTATTATTAGTAATTTTTTGAATTTTATTATAGTTCTCAGTTTTTTCTACCCCTATTTCATATATAATACTTTAAGATTTGATTGATTAGGAAAATCAGAACAGGAAAAGTCATTAAATACGACTCTTTTAGAATTTAAAATTTTAGATGTCCCGAATATTTTTTTCAAATTGGATTGTAGCACAATGGCACGTAGCCTATGTTACTCAGGAAGATATAAGCTGTCCACAAGTGTAAAAATTTTTGAAATTGTTCAATAGTTTCTAAGATTACCCTGAACAATGAAACAAATTTTTCCCCTTTATATAATAGTATAGATTATATATACACAGAGACAATTTGTTATTTTTTACATGAAATAAAAAGTACTTTGTCTTCTAAATACCTTTACATAACGCTTAAAACGGCAATTGTATATAACGTAAGTCATACCATGCATATTGATAAAAACACTTATGTTACAATGATTTAAAAAAAAAAAAGGTAAAAAACAGGCGCCCCAAGTACACGCGCAATGTATGTTGTAAATCTAAAAATCGTAAACAATGCTTTATATAAAGCTACTACCATTTAGGATTTTTGGATACACTTGACGAATACCTGAGGTGTTTGACTTTTTACTTGTTGCGACGGTTGCGAATTTTCTGTCCTTTTTAGTGTGATTTGATGAGTTAAAAATTTTAAGAAGCGATTAAATTGGAATTATGCGGTTTGTTCTGAAGAAGGCCAACTAAGGCTCGAAACGTCAACGTTGTTTTTTATATTGCGAACACATTTGTTGTAAAATTGACTTTATTAAATATACACCTATTAATAGCTCGTAATTTGGCCGTTTCTATTATTTAACTAGCGAATGGATGTTCAACAATACAAATATAATGTTCCTAAATGAAACAGTGCCGCTAGATAATGAAAAAGTCAAATTTCATTGGATAGATGTCGATTACAATAAATATTTGACGTAAGTAGGATGAGTAAGAGACAATAACAGGAGACAAAGAATAAAAAATATAATTTTGATGTATAATTCTATTTTTGTCATAACTATTATAGCGCATAAAAAATTGCTAAATAACGCTCAACATTAGATTAAAATAGTCAGAATTGTGACATTTATAGAGAATATACATATATTAAAAATTAAATAAAATATTATTTTTTTACTCTTCTTCATTATGTTACCTTTCTATCATTAGCATAATTGTGCCGTTTCTTGTTACTGGTTCCTGAGAATTCCTTTCCTCATTTATCTCTCTTTACTCTACTTATTTTTTTTATCTACGTCAAATATCCATCTTTCTTTATCGTTTCTTGCGCACACAAAAGATTTCTAATCTAATTGAATTAATAAAATATCTTCCGACAATCGTGTCTTCGTTCGTTTGAGATTAAAAATAAGTTCTAAACATAAATTTTTTTAAGTTCTTCTTATTGCATAAGTTTTATCATCTCTTGATTGACAATATTCTTGTTGTATTTTAATAATGTATTTTAATTTATTTTTTGCACAAACATGTGGACATATAAAGAATGAGAATACTTGATATCAAGAAGTTTTTCCTCCATGCATGAAGATGTTAGCCAAGCAGCAATAAACGTTGCTAGAGTACATTACAAAAGGTGAGTGCAAAATGTGTTCATGTTATACAAAATAATGCTCTCTATAAATATTAAATAAATGTTATAACTGTTAAACATCGCTGAAGAGTAATATAAAAATCTTATAATCAGCAAAGGTGAGTGCAAAATTTGTTCATGTTATACAAAATTATGCTCTCTATAAATATTAAATAAATGTTATAAATGTTAAACATCGCTGAAGTAATACAAAAATCTTATAATCAGCATTTACAAAATTATACGATATTTTCTTAACTTCTTACTCATTATAAATTTATTAAATGCTATAAATGTATATGATTATAAATATGATTACCATACGGTTTAACTGAAACATTGAGGAATTGAAAAAAAAAACTATTTATAAAAAGATTTTAGACACATGTTATATAAAAAATAAATTTTTATTCTATTTAACTACAAATAATTTTGTTGAATAAACTAACTTTGTATTAAAAAATTAATACTGTAGTTAATATATTAATTGTATTTATTTTACATTTTTCTTAGAAAGACACTGTTTGTTGCTGCATTTAAAATTTGCGTTACCGTTGGCACATTGTGGGCGATTTACAAATGGAAAATTTACTTATTTATTTTAGTTTTTTATTTAACATCTTTATAACATTGTATATCAATATTTGAGCTTGGTGCATTAAAAGTAAGAATCAAACTAATTTTTTTGTGTAATTACATATTTCTACTTTTGATTTTGCTTTTTCCGCGACGGTTAGGTAGGGTAAACGCGAGTAAGATGGTCATACAGAAAAGATGACCAACCTATGTTCTTTCAATCTAGCTCGCCATAAAACATCAAATGAACATATTTCGATTTTTGATATTTACTCGGCATAAAAAAAATTATTTTTTTCGAAACTTAATTATTATTTTATAACTAAATTTGTTTCTTAAGATGCAGTCTATAATTATAAATATTTTCTGGTATTTGAAAAACACACTTACCTTGGTGGGATTCGAACTCGGGACCTCTGGATAGTGAGCCAACTGCCTTACGTGGTAGACTACTTCTTAATTTGACGTAAGTGTTATATATAGTCTACACGTGTCATAACCAGCGCAAATATATAATTTTTCAAAAATCATCTTAAGAAACAAATTATCTTAAGAAACAAATTCATCTTAAGAAACAAATCATCTTAAGAAACAAATTCATGCAGTTTAAAAAGAGTAATAAAATTTTGAATTGGATATAAGAATGATATCCGCAGTACTATTTCAAAACTTGTACACTTTTATCACGACGAATTAGTACAGACCTTCATATAAAATGTATTTGTGCCTTACTTTTATCTCTCTTCCTTAATATTATCAGGAATTACCCATTATAATGTTTCTATACAAATTGTAGTACTGGTCAGTGATTAATTTCACATGGAATATTCAGTTCAGTACTTGAGTATTAACATTAAAATACTGGCCAGTGATTTATTACACATGGAATTCTCGGTCCAGTATTTCAGTACTAACATTGAAATACTCATCAGTAATTCAACACAAGTATTTATTACACAAGTATTTATCACCTGGTATTAAATGCTTTCTCATCAAAAATTTAATACTAAGTATTCAATACTCGTCCTGTATTAAATACTACTTTCATAAATTACTGACCAGTAATAAAATACTGTGCAATACTTGAATCACAGTGATTCAAGTACTAATAAATACTTAATTTTAGTATTATTAATACACAAAATAAGTATTTATTACTAACCAGTTAGTAATACTTTTTTGTAAGGGGTACGAGCACGCTCGAACCGAAACTCCCTCTCCTACCTACTTGCACA